GTCAAATTTGAGATAATTTTTGAAAATTCATGTCATGCTTGTTTTTCACGTTGGTTCAAGTTTTTAGAGCAAGTAACTATATAAACTACCTGCACTAAACTTGCATGGATGATGCATGCATCCATGGATTAACTCCTCTGGACATGCTTTTGATGCTGATAGTCCAATATTGACTAAAAATATGTGAAATATGCATTTACATCTATAGGGATGAATGCAACTAGACTTGGTTTTGAGACTGGATCAAACCTAAATTTTCAGGACAAGTGATCAGTTATTGGAACGTACAGGCCTATTCCAAATTATCTTTAAAACTTAAACTAACCAAACATGCATTGATGATACATATAAGGCCTTAGGATGTACACTGTACGTACCAGATTTCCTACAGATGCTAAATCCGATTGGACATTTTCTTACATTAAGTCCACTCAGATTGAATTTGCATTAATGTTGCAGTTAGGCATGCACAGTACGAGAAACATTCTTTTGTAGTGAGATTTTGCCTTACCTTCAGATAATACATATGGAGGTGAACTTCTAAATTTTTCATTTGTAACGTTTCGAGTTTGATGAATATTGATTTTAATATCAATAAATTACTTTACCGTCACCTATGGTAACGTGTAATATTTTTTCAACCTGGTACCTATGAGGCACGTTACAATAATTGGATTCGAAGGTACCTAGATTTGATAAAGGAAAGAAGTGTGTAAAAACAATTAATACATGTGTTTATTATAGCATCAACAGCATCAAAGACAATAAATAAATTTTAATAAATATCTTTAAAAGGTCTCTTTAATAGAATATACGGCCAAACTTTCACGGAGCTCGGTGCTGCTCGGGGCTCCTCGGTGTTCGGTGCTACTCGGGGTTCCTCGGTGTTCGGTGCTACTCGGTTCTCGGTGCTACAAGCTTACTAGGTTTCCGGTGCTATTAGGTGTTCTGTACTATTTTGTTTCAGGAGCTACAAGATGTCCAGTGCTATCCGTTGCCACTACTATGGATAACTATACAGGCACAATCAGGGACTCTGACACTGCAATCAGAACTATATCTGAAATCCAAAATCTATTTCGTAATAACAAAAAGTCCACCCCCCTTCCTATGCTAGCATATCATGCGTAGATAGGAGAGTTCTTGTACTAAAGCCAACCATTGTTGATTATAACCTATGCAACTAAGAAAAGTCAAACATATACTAATCTATGCTCGGTACTACTCGGTGCTCGGTGCGACCAGGTGCACGGTGCCCCGGTGCTCGGTGCCGTCGGTGCCAAAAATTAACTTTAACTACATCTGTAAATGAAATCTCAATAAAATGGAATTGATTATTCTGAATTCATAATCACAAGTTTACACAGTCAATAATACTAAAATGTATTATAATAATTTAAAAAACAAACTTTGGTTCAGATCTCGCACCGAGTAGTCAATATCTAAATACTTTAAAGCTAATAAAATTTTACTATAACTATTTGCTAAAGAATTTATATTTTGCTACAATTTCTAAATAGACGAAGAAATTTCAAAACTAATTTTCTAACCTATTTAAAATATTAATTTACTTTATTCTTTCCTGGCACCGACTTGCACCGACTGCTCTGCCCTACCACTATTTTTCTAGAGAAGATCTGACGCCGACGCCAGGAGTTTGCTGCTTTTATACTGTGACGCAGTGCTGCAGTGACTACGTCATATGTAATATGTAGAACTTCAAGAACAACACTTTTATCAATAAACTAGATTAACAAACCCACTAATAATACTCCAAACGATCTATTCTATCAGACAATATATTATAATTATTTTAAGTTAATTACCGGTAATTCTAGAGTTAAATGTCCATAAACAATTCGTCTGCTAGCAATCCGGATATATCTACCTCTACCATACAGTTTCCGCAATTACTACATCTTAAGCATTTCCAGTTTGTCGTAAAATCCCGGTAAACAATAAATCTTTCCTAGCTAAGTTCTACAAGAATTCTATTTAAACATAATAATTCTAAGGACGCACTTTTATAGCATAATTATGTACTGCAAGTAAACGCATTTCTACGTAATTAGAATTAACACTGACGTTTTTGTACCAAGTGTAAACATGTACCAAAGTTCTACATGCAACGAAAAACATACATTCTAAACAACACTAAACATGCTAAAGGTTGACTATGCAGGCGCAACACATTGTGCATATTGTGTATGTATTTTAAAAGAATAATTCACAACAAAAAATTCTATAGAGGGGTTAACAGTGGAAAGTCTTAAACATGGAAAAAAAAAATATAGAACAGGCCAGCATTTTAACCAAGTCATAAGAACCTAGCTGTCAAGTTGATGCAGAATTTTAAAAGATGGAAGTTCTTTGAACTTTGTAAAATTTTATTCATTTTAAAACCACTATCACTAAGGAGTGCTGGAATCAATTAGACACCTTGTTTTGTACAGAAATTAACTAAAATGCGGTAGTGTGACATAAAGTCTTGAGTGTAAAGACATCTGTCAGAAGTAATGAAGTGGTCAGACATTCATCACATGCATCACTAGTGTATGGAGATCAGTTAGTGGAATAAACATAGAGATTGGGGAAGGGGGAGGTCAAGTTTCTGATCTAGTATATTGAATATTCCTCCTTCCTCTTACATGTAGTCAGAGTTTAAGGAGTTGAACTTAAAATGGCTTGTGTTCTTGCACTGGCTTGTATCTATGTATGTCGAATATTTAATAGTTCAGGCCATGGAAATTGGCCTGGGTAGCTCAGTAGATTGAGCACCTGGCTACTGATTCAAGGGTCCTGGGTTCAATTCACTGTCCAGCCATACATTTTCTCCATTCCTGTTACATAATTTTGGTGCTGTTGATCAGATAAATGTAACCAGAAGGGGAAAAATGTGGCAGTCAGATAGGTTTGAACACCAATGGCCATAGTTTAGTTGGTAGAGCAGCTGATTTTATTCACCTACATGTATAGAATTATGTACCTTACTGGTGAATTTATGAGAAAAAAATGGATTTTTCTATGGATCATCACCTGTGTCTAAGGTTATTCATTGACAATTAATATGTAGAAAGTGCAGATTTAAATTATAAAGTAATTAGTAGGGATGTCAAATCGGTCAATTTTTAGTACTCAGTTACTCGGACGTTTTTCCGAGTAACTTAAAAGTGTAAATAAATATGAACAAGTAAATTGATGACTGTAAAACATTGTAAACTCTTGTAGAAATAAAACCACATGTTCTGATTGGAGGTTTACCCCTAATTGTATTTCTGTTGTAAGAATGATGAGCACTTGTTACGACGAAATTTAAATAACATTTTTTGAAGTTCAATTTAAATATCAGATAAACACAAGAAATAAAATTATAAGAGGTTCACAGTGTTTTTGTAAAAAAAAAAAATCTACTCCGTAAATGTAATGTAACTTTGTTGCATTTGACGTCCAGGTATCAGTCGTCAGAGCTACGTACCATATCAACTAGAACTTGATCAAGTTAACAGAGCGGATTTATGATTTTCGTACACTTTTTCACTCCTATATTTTATAGTTTTACGGGACGGTATTTTGTAGTTTGGTAAAACGATGGAAATCGGTATTTTAAAGCCTTTGCCTGCAGCCATTTTTATTGGCATGTAATCAAACACAACCAATCAACAATCGCACGTGTAATATCATTTACGGCTTCTCAGAGAGTTGACAAAATTATTTAATTTATTTAAACAAATTAGACCTTAAACGATGTTCAGTGAAAACAAATAATTAAAGCAAACCAAAAATAAGGGTAGAAGACAGCCGAAGGTGAGAAAAGCCAGGTAACAGGTGCTTGGTCATGATAATTACTGTATAAACACTGTCACAGGCAATTACGGTCATTTAGAGGCGTAGGAAACCCTAATTACTGCATGTAGTGCAAGGAGCATTTTAAGTTATAAAACAGATTGTTTAATGCATTGATGAATAAGTTTAGAAACATTCAAAAATATACATCCGAGTAACCGAGTACCGATTTTAGTATTCGATACTCGGACGTTCGATCGAGTACCCGGTTAACCGGGTACTCGTTGACATCCCTAGTAATAAGTGATCTGATAAAGACATCAAATAATAAAGACATGCCATTAGTTAAAATACTGCTTCATTCCATGTAATCACATTTTAACTGTAATCAGTATGATGTAAAGTTGATAATAGTTTTGATTTTATGATATTATTCTAAACTTCAAGGATATCCATACATTTGATCTCATTAAATAGTCCATGTAGCATAGATGATATGTCTTATCAGATCACAATTACCACCTACACATGGCATTAGTACATGTAATAAGAACTGATCAAAGTCTTTGAAACATAGTGTACATGTACCTATATTTTAATCCCCACAAATCTTCATTTAAGATCCGTTAAGCTCTCTTTGACAAAGTCAAGACGAGTTTAAGCTTTCTCTGTCATTGGCTTACCAGGGTTAGGTTTTAGGAGCAGGTTCATTGCCCAGTAACTATAAGCTCTAGCTTGGCCATACTTGCATGGATGTTTCCATTAGGAATGAACACCACCAAACATGCTTTAGACACAGCTTGACATTTTTGTCAGATAGCATAGGACAACATTAAAGGATTAGAATAAGTCCATTCCCACATAATATAAGCTGAACGTATCCTGAACAATCATACTTTAATATTGAATCTATAAGGATGCACACTAAAATTAAGACTTTATTGGATGCTGCATATGACTGTAATTTTTTGATGAGCAACTATATTAATTTATTTTGAGCAAGTCCAAGTTACTTTCGTCTTAATTAGTCCAAACTTATAGGAATGATGCATTGAGGAATATATGGCCTACATAGCATCAAACTTGCTTCAGATGATGCATTGGACCTACATTTTCCATATGAATGAAAAAGTTAGAGGTTGTGAGGCTTGTTTACTTTCCAAATAACTTTAAACTCTGTCTGGTCATAACTTTCATTCTTTTTGCATCTATTGAGTATGGATGCAGTAACAACCTGGTTTCAGATATTGAGTAGCACCTATGTATTCACTAGGTGATTTAATTTGGACAGATTTGGGACATGTTCCATACTAAATAACTATAATCCCTACCTAGACTAATATAAAAAAGGTATAGCTTTTGTAGTTTGGGCTTTACGGACTGTGGATATCAGCCTGGTGAGCTCAGTGGTTAGAGCATCTGACGAGAAATACAGGGGTCCTGGGTTCTATTCCCAGTCCAGCCATATGTTTTCTTCGTGCATTTCTCCTTTCCTACTACACTTTATAGATTGATCATTTTCTTTTCTTTTACAAAGGGACATGCAGAAAGAGTGTGGGATGATTGGGAGAGTTTTGGCCCTTGTTCTCGAACCTGTGGTGGAGGGGTACAATCTCGTCAAAGGAGCTGTATATATCAAAGGTATATAAGAAGCATAGTGTAAGATGCCCTTCCCCCCCCCCCCCCACATTACACATTAACTGTATTTTTTTAATGTGCTTGGTTGGTGAGTCCCCAAACAATTTGCATACAGGTATCTCCCTAAGTGGACGGTAAAAAGTAAAGTGCAAGTGAGAATGCGATATACCCATTAGCATGTGTGCATATAATTAATTAGCTTTCACCTGCAGATGAAACTTTGTTGTAGAATACATGTATCTATGAAATTCACTTATTAAACATGAAAGTTATTAAGTAATATGGTATAAAATATTGCAAAATTTGTTCCTATATTTGCTGATTTTATATAGGGAGTGAAGGCGTGTGAATGTATGAATTAAACTGTCTACACAACCATTATGCTATTATAACATTTATAAAATAAGTCAATTACATATCAATTTGTTTTCACATTTATAATCATTTCATGCTCTTTCAAATTGTATTTGGACTTTTACAAATTAAAATTATGATCTGTTTGAGTTAAAACCAGTACATTTAGGTGTTGTTTAAATTACCTACTGCTGATCAAATGTACTTTTAAGGAAATAGGACTTGAGTTTTAAACATTTCATTTTTAGTTTTAGTAAAACATTATTTTTAAAAAATTAAAGAAATTATCTCAAATACAGTTTTATTAAGTTTATACAAATTTGGCCACCCAGAATAAGGAAGTATAAGAAATATGAAAAAAGTATTTTATCGGGTAAAAGAAAAAATTGTATTTTGGAGGAAAGAAAAGAAAATTACAAGATATTTTATCTTTTAAATTGTGCTGGGGGGGATAGGGAATCCAAATTTTACATTGAAATAAATAGGAAAAATCTTTGAAATTCTTCTCCTCAAGAACCACTGTGACATGATAACAAGAAATACTATGTCGTCGTAGTTTGTTGCATCACAGTTGAATTGGGAATTTTTAGTCACAGAATTGGGAAAAATTAACATTTTTGGCATTGGGAAGGGTGCCGTTTATCGGTACCAGTTATATAAGGGAAAAAAAACACTGCTTGGGTAGTGCAGATTTTATATTGTTCAAATCATGGCCACTGGGGTAGTATGGGGCCACAATTGGTATTACAAGGGGGATTAAATCTGGTGAAGAAAAGCATGGCCAAGATTATTTAGGTAAGCATTGTGACCCATGGACCTCTCGTTAAAATTTCTTATTTTAATTAAGAATTGTTACTTAATTTGTTTCTCTTTATATAAGGTCAAGGTCAGGAAGAAAACAAAGTTGTGGTAGTGCTCGAGAGGAACGTGAATATAAGTCCTGTAATACACAAGTAAGGTTTCATCTGATCTTACTCCGCAATTGCAAATGCATATGTTCGTTACAGACAAAGTAAAATACAAATTAACTTCGTTGTAATTTGTCTCCCCAGTTGATAATTCATTACTTTGTATATGACTTCATAACAATCATGTTTGACATTTGAATTCCCCCCACCTTGTGATTATATCATTTAGCTTGATATGAATAAAGTATTTCGAAGCTGTGATATATTTCATAAGTTGTATAGAATTTTTGTTTTTTTAGGACTGTGATGAGGGCAGTCTGGACTTCAGAGCAATACAGTGTCAGGATTTTAATAATGTCCCTTTTCTGGGCAAAGTTTACCAATGGAGACCTTACTATGATGGTAATTAAGAGAGATTTACAAACTGTTTTAGATACTCAGATAATGATCATTGCCTCTAGAAAAAGGATGATATTCTGAAAGTATAATTATAAATACCTATCCCCATCCTCTATGAATACCTCCCCCCCCCCCCATCCACCCACCCATCACTCACATAAAAACTTGAAAAAAATTTCAACATTCTGGGCACAAAAAATGCTAACTGATATTAACAGAAAAAAGTTTTGTAGATGAAATGATGTTTGTCAAACAAAAGACCAAACTTTCTTATCTACCTCTGATAAAACCATGGTCCTATGAAAACACCTGCACAGGCAATTTAGAGTAGACAGTTTTCATGAAAGTTTGTTAAACTTGGACATTTATGTTAAAAAGTTAACCTCTTGTTTAAATTTTCAAGAGGACTTGAAAGAATATTAATATTTATTGTAATCTATTTGTTTTATTAAAAGTCTAGTTAACTGTTAAAATAATATGATTAGATCTTTAATTCTCCACCCTTAATTTTGTAAAAAAAAAAAAAAAAAAAAAAAAAAAAAAACTTGCTTGAGTTTGAAGGAGATTTAAGTATTTTTCTCTTCAAGAATATTTTCACTTTCATTACATTGCATGGAAATCAAAGAAAAGCTCCTTGAATGCATAGTACTTTCAAAAGACAATATTTTTGCAAGACTGAAAATCTGAAGGAAGTATACACCTGGATATGCCTCTTAGGATTAGTTCAAATACCTTGGACCATGAACTAATTGAATCAGCTTTTCTGATCTGGATTACTTTTTGAGTGATAAGGTCAAAGGTTATGACCTAGCTGTCATACCAAAGAGAGACACTGAATTTCATTATTTATAGCACCTGGAACATGGAAGATTTACAGGATGAAATTTTAAAAAGAAAGCTGCAGTTAAGAGAGCATCTTGTGAATAATTAAAAGGTTTTAAAAAATCTTTTGATGAATAATTGTAGCAAAGTTGGAAGAAGCTAGATTTTACTTAAATCCATGATTTTTAGTCAGTCATAAACTGTCTGAAGTTGTGAATAGATTCCATACTAAGTCAGGTCCCTGTACCTGATAGCTACTGTAGATTCCTTATTTTTCGCGAGTACTTTTTATCGCGAACTGGGTCTTTCACGTCAAATCGCGAGAATTATAATTCGCGACTGGAGGGTTGATCAACAGAATTTACATAGATTTCAGTACCATAAAAATAAAAGCGAGTAATATTTTTTCGCGAGTGACGCTTCTCGCGAAATTACGCGGAAATTAATTCCTAGTGTATAATTAGGAATCTACAGTATTTCAATTCTGTGAATTTTTCACATTATCATGGTCATACTAAAGCAAAGCAAAAAGATAGTAAGTAGGATTTATATTTATGATTTGCAACCAATAAGTGGAAGAATATGATTTCTGAATGCCCTCTAGTTGTATCCCAGTGAAGACGGCATTAAGTCAATTTGAAGATAATGTCTTTTGCCCTCTCCACACTCAGGATGAAAAATTTGGGTCAATAGTTAAGTGGGTTTTTTTTCCACAAAATTTTTTAAATCGGTGCAGAATTTTCAAAATCTATTTTCTGGAATGCATAAAAAAGGATTGATTCTTGGAGGTTAAAAAAGTTTTGAGTAAAGGCCATTTTTAGCCAGTCGGTACTAAGGGAAAGGGCACACCAGATAGACTTACTTAAAACTTTTTCATTGAAGGAGAGAAGAGATGCAGTTTACTCTGTTCAGCAGTCAACACCAGTGTGTACCATGAGTGGAGTGATAAAGTGATAGATGGCACTAAGTGTGACAGTCTGTCAGATGATCAGTGTGTGGATGGAGCTTGTCAGGTGAACCAGTCAGACAGAATCTTAGTCATACAGTCAAACTTCGTTATCCCGAGCCTGATGGGGCTAAGAAAAAACTTTTTGATATCTGAGGATTCAAGATATCAAGCGTAAAATACTTAAAGAATATGTGGTTGGGACTTCAACATCACTTCAACATATCCAGGGTATTCCAGATATGGGGGTTTGAGATACCGAAGTTCAACTGTATAATCAATTAATATAGAATTTGTCAAGTATTCAAATACATGCTGTACACTGTTAAGGCCAGTATTGGGGCTAAGTCTACTTATGAATTAGTATAAATATAAGTATAAAATAAAAATAGTCAAGGAACGGTTGATCAGTTTCTGAACATTTTTCTGTAGGCAGCTGGTTGTGACAACGTACTCGGATCTCGAGCGAGACGTGATGTATGTGGTGTGTGTAACGGAAATGGAAAGTCGTGTAAACTCATCCGAGGATCATTCACTATTCCTCAGCTTTACTCAGGTAGGACTGCCAAGTTTAACTCTACACAACAATATAAAACTTGTACAAAAATTGTGTACTGTGTATGTGTTTAAAATGCAGTTTATGTCTGATTTCATTAAAAGTAATACAGTAAAATCTACCTAGGAGTAGTCACAGGGGGGGCAGCGGGGGCACTAGCCCCCCCACTTTCAGATCTGGGGGGGCAAGAGTATGTCTGTGCCCCCCCCCCCCCCACTTTTTAATGAAGAACAAAATCACAGCTATTTTGAAATAATATTAAACCTCATTTTATGGCATTTTTTTAAGTTCAACAACTGAGTAAGCATTTGTCTTGAAGTAATAGTTGTATTATATAGTAATGTAATATAGTAAATAAGTCGTCAAGACCTGCTCCCCCCCCCCCCACTTTTTTCCCCAACATAACCTTTACTATAGGAAATGTTCATTGAAGGGATAATTGCCCCCCCCCCCCCACACTTTTTGACCATAGTATATTGATATTGAAGAAGTGTGGAAAAAAAATTGGAATTGAAAGTACTTGCCTTTGAAAAAGTTGGCCACTAACCCCCCCCTGCGAAATAGGATTTTTGAGTTTGGAGAACTTTCAATCATGGTTTTTTTTTTTTTTTTTTTTTTTTTTTTTTTTGTTTTTTTTTTTTGCTTGTCAAAGAATTTCTGGAGTTGAGCCCCCCCCCACTTTTAAGTTTGTGACTACGCCTCTGTACCTAATCCAACATCTGTAAATTCCATTACACTTTTATTTTCCTTCCCATTTTGCTTTTTTCATTGTTTTTTTTTTATACTGTGAAATTTCATACCCGGTATATTCTGACTCCAAATTTGTGTCCCAATGTATAATGAACTATTGTTTATAGTGAAGTGATTTTCATTCCCCATGACTATTATATATTGTAAACTTGATGGATTTAACAAATTTCTGGTATGCTTATAACTTAACAAATTTGTCCATCTCTGGCACTTCCCAATAAGCCTGTTTTACTGTATTTTAATTAAAGCTGACTGTGCTTGGAAGTAAAGAGAGAAGTTTAGTCAAACAGGAAATTTCTTCACATCAATTACTAATAGAACACAGTTACTGTATACAGGGAAATTTTCGCCCCCGTTTTATTTTCGTCCCTTTCGCCCTCTTCCTGATTGGGTGAATTTAAAATGGTGCGAATTCAAATTACACAGCATAATTTCTTAAACAAAACTATGACCGGGCGAAATTAAAACGGGGCAAAAAAGTTCGCAAGTGCAAAAGGGCGAAAATAACCCCGTATACAGTAGTGATAAAACTTCTTTTACTTATAGGTTACAATGAAGTCATCACTTTGCCAAAAGGATCAACATCAATTTTGCTAAAAGAGATGAAATTCAGTCCAAATTATTTAGGTGAGGTCAAAAAATACAGACAGATTTAATATATATATCATCAACTCTCAGTTAACTTATTGGAAGGTTTCTGACCATGTTGTACAAGCAAAATTTTCTTAAACAAAAAATCAAAATATTTCAGTTTTGAAAAGTAGTGATGAAACATTCATATTAAGTGGGGAACATTATGATGGTAAACCAGTTCTGATGAACATTGGAGGAACCAGTTTATTGTATACACTGGAAGGATCAGGCCGGAACCTCGTGAAGAAACTAAAAGGACAGGGCCCAACTAAAGGCAGCATACAGATCTATGTAAGATTGGCTAGCCCTGGAAAAACTTGTCATTAATTTAGAAGCTTAATGTGGAATATATGGATTTATTTTGCATCTTTTTGATGGGAAAAAAAACTCTATTGAAAAGAATTTTGATGATCAATAAATGAAAATTTAATTCAACTGCAAATTCTTAAAAGATGAAAACCAGGAGAATGTTATTATATGAAACAGTAAAATTGGTGTTGTAAAGCTGAAGGTAGTAAAATTTATTTCTCTGTTTGTAGTTTATCAGATTTTGATTATGGAAGTAATTCAGGTTTAAAAACTTGCCTGAATTTGTCACTCTTTATTAAAGATGATCCTTTTGATTAAAAGATGATGGCTAAGGAAGAGAAGAATCCTGGGGTGTGGTATGAGTTATACATCCCTCTGTCTGGAGGAGAGCCTCGATTTGAACCCAGAAGTTTACCCATTAGTTACAGACAAAACCTACACCAGGGGCAGGCAGAATTAAGATCCAGTGGTATTGGAGAATCCACTCAATCCAGCTTTTCTTGGAATTTCGGCGGATGGACGCAGTGCTCCACCAAATGTGGAGAAGGTATGAGATATATGCACTTTAAAAGCAGACTAAAATGTTTTATTTTAACTAAATAAGCAACAATTTTCTTCTTTTATTAATCTGTAGATTAGGATGATAACTTTTATTCAAATCTAATTGAATAGCTGAAAGTAAGCAATAAAGAATTACTGTCTGACATTTCTATATGATTTTTAACACATTTACCATGAAAAAGAAAACATCAAAAATATACATGTATATATATTTTATGAATGCATTTGATATTTTAGGTATCAGGAAAAGGCTGGTGGTGTGCACTAACAGGCAGACGGGGGAGAGAAGTGACCTTGAGAATTGTGACGCTTCTGGTCGACCTGCCGACACAGAGAAATGTAAGGGAGACAACTGTGATCAAACTTCTCAGGATGAAAAAACTGTGTAGGTCAATAAATGATGATTATCTCTCTTTGTATACATATTTTTCTTCTTAAAACTGAATAATTTTTTAAGACACTTAGAAAAAAATTGGAAAAAAAACTTAGTTGGCTACATTGATCTTTTGATCCCAATGTCTCTTGTTAGGTCTTGGGGATAATCTGCTTTATCATTATACATTATTAAAATCACATTAAAATGGACAATAATTTGTACTTTTCTCTTTAAAATGTGTGCAATAGGCGATAACATTTAACCCTTGTATTGTCCAATTTACAGATTTCTCTATTACAAGTATTTATTTTAGGAAGTGGAAGCTAGGTGACTGGGGTCCTTGCTCTTCCTCCTGTGACATCGGGGACCAGATACAGTCTGTACAGTGTGTCTCAGTGGATCCCAGGGGACAGTCAGTACCTGTAGAAGATGCCCAGTGTATTCAGCTGTATGGCCAGAAGCCAGAGTACAGGAGGTCTTGTAATGAAAATGTTCCTTGTCCTTACTGGACTGCAATGGAATGGTCCTCTGTAAGTGACATTATCGTTGGATTATTAAATTACAATCAAACATTATTAACTTAAATGTATTAACAACAGTCAAACTTCAATATTTTGAACTCATGTGACCAAATTAAACTTTAAGTTATTCAAGGATTTGAGATAATGTGGGCAAAAAAAAAAAAAAAACAAAACAAAACAATAAGAAAAGGTGATGATAGGACTGCCAACTCACCTTGACATATCTCTGAATTCAAGACATTGATGTCTGAGCTAAGGAAGTTCAGCTGTATCATGTCTGCATAAAGTAAAAAATTAATTTTATAATTCATAAAAAAAAAACACAACATACATTTTGTTACAAGAAGCATGCTTTGAAGTTATGGGAAGATGATATGTTTATAATTACCAAATATCAGTCAAGTATTGGACACAAAAAAAGCTTTTGGGTACAAAGAGTTGAATCGAATTTTTCTCTAATTTAAAAAAAAAGGCATACCGTAAATCTGGAAATTTTTACGTCGATTTTATTTTGCGAATCTGGGTCAAAATGCTGTTGATTAATTTTTACGTTTCAAAATTTTGCGAATGACCACTTCTTTCTTTACATTTTCTTATTGTTGAATTATTTTTAAGAACAATATTTTTGCGAATGCAATGAACTCGCAAATTTGCTAAAAATTTATCTACAGCAAAAATTTCCAGATTTACGGTATTACAGTAAATTTAGTTTAGATTTTCACCTACATGTGATTTAAGTTAACAAAGTGAAGATTATTTCTTAAATGTTTGTTTTCTTTAGTCATTATTTCCATAAAATTGCTATCCCTTGCTATGCTGTTTCTCTGCAGTGTAACAAGGCCTGTGGTATGGGGGAACAGACTCGCAGTGTACTGTGTATCAGTATAGACAACAGGAGGCTAGCAGAGAGTGCCTGTGATCCTACAAAGAAGCCAACCCCCACACGACCTTGTATGGTCAAGCAGTGCCCTGTAAGCATAACATCAGTGATTTTCTAAATTTCATCTTGTAAAAGTACTGAAGATACACTTCACTGTAGAAATTAACTTGCAGAGTTAATATTAACTGTTTCATCATTTGTGCCATATGTAATAAAAAATGACAATGAAGGTGAAAGAGGACAGTGAATATTTAATGATATAATTTTTATACAGTGCAGAAAGAGAGGGAATAGAACAGTATCTTTTTATTATGATTTCATAAATATTCTAAATAATTAGATAAAAGAAAAGAAATTTAAGATAGATGATTAAAAATCATTGTAGCTGTGTCATTTCTGAAACATGCTGTTTAAACTCCATTTACTCCTAGGAAGGTCCCTTAGAAAACTGTAGAAATTCGCTGTTTGGATGTTGTCCTGATGGTAGGACACCTGCAAGAGGCCTGAATTTAGATGGATGTGAAGTGACTTGCAAGGGTACAAGGTATGGTTGCTGTCCAGATCAGAGAACCACAGCAAGAGGTCCAAATGGGGAAGGGTGTGGATCGGACTGTTCAAGATCCAGATATGGATGTTGTCCTAACAGTCAGAATCCTGCTAAGGGGCCCAATGGAGAGGGTTGTTCTACTCCTTGTTCTAGATATAGATATGGGTGTTGTCCAGATAATGTAACTGTAGCTAGGGGTCCTAATGGTGAGGGATGTCCCACTTCATGTTCTGACAGTCAGTATGGATGTTGTGCGGATGGGAAAACTGAGAAGAGAGGACCTAATAATGAAGGATGCTCCAATGATTGTTTGAGATATCCATATGGATGCTGTTCTGATAATATTACTCCAGCTAGAGGTCCGAATGGTGAAGGATGTCCAAGCTCCTGTAGAGACAGTAGATATGGATGTTGTCCAGATGGTAGAAGTGAAGCTAGAGGACCAAATGGACAAGGTTGTTCTATTGACTGTTCCAGATACAGATTTGGTTGTTGTCCTGACAACGTTACTGCAGCTAGAGGTCCAGATGGAGAGGGCTGCCCTAACTCTTGTAGTAAGTCCAAATATGGATGTTGTCCTGATGGAAAGACAGAGGCAAGAGGTCCAGATGGGGAGGGATGTTCACCAGACTGCTCTAGAAGACAATTTGGTTGTTGCTCTGACAATATAACCCCAGCAAGAGGTCCAAACAAAGAGGGCTGTCCAAGTGAATGCTCTGCCTCTCAATTTGGTTGTTGTCCTGATGCAAAAACAGAAGCTAGAGGACCCAATGGAGAAGGATGTCAACCAGACTGTTCTCGCTATAGATATGGATGCTGTTCAGATAATGTAACTCCAGCCAGAGGTCCAAATGCTGAGGGTTGTCCAGTAAATTGTACATTGTCACAGTATGGTTGCTGTCCAGACAGGGTCACAGAGGCTCAAGGATTTAATTCTGAGGGTTGTCCCAGTGAATGTCAGAACAGCAGATATGGATGTTGTTCAGATGGGAGCACAGAAGCCAGAGGACCTAATGGAGAAGGGTGTCCTTTCGACTGCTCACGGTATCCCTATGGATGTTGTCCTGATAAATCAATCCCTGCAAGAGGTCCAAATGGTGAAGGATGTCCTAACTCATGTGTAAATGGTAAATATGGATGTTGTCCAGATGGTAGAACAGAAGCTAGAGGACCTAATGGACAAGGTTGTTCTATTGACTGTTCCAGATACAGATTTGGTTGTTGTCCTGACAAAGTTACTCCTGCTAGAGGTCCAGATGGAGAGGGCTGTCCTAACTCTTGCAGGAATTCTACTTATGGATGTTGTCCAGATGGAAGAACAAAGGCAAGAGGCCCAAATAGGGAGGGTTGCACTATTGATTGTTCTAGATACCAGTATGGATGTTGTCCAGATAATGTAACTCCTGCAAGAGGCCCCAATAAAGAGGGCTGTCCTAGTAACTGCACTGTGTCTCAATTTGGCTGTTGTCCTGATCAGGTGACTGAAGCAAAGGGATATAACATGGAAGGTTGCCCAAGTGCTTGCTTAAGGAGCAGGTTTGGATGCTGCCCAGATGGCAAAAGAGAAGCCAGGGGGCCAAATGCAGAAGGATGTTCTGTGTCCTGTGAAGAAACACGATTTGGATGTTGTCCTGATAATCAGACTCCAGCAAGAGGACCCGGTGGAGAAGGCTGCAATACTGAATGTTCAAGGTATCCTTATGGATGTTGTTCAGATCAAGTTACACCTGCAAGAGGTCCAAATGGGGAAGGATGTTTAAGAAACTGTGCTGAGTCTCAGTATGGGTGCTGCTCAGATGGAAGAACTGAAGCTAAAGGTCCCAATCAGGAAGGTTGTTTAACAGATTGTGCCAGATACAGATATGGATGTTGTTCAGATAACATCACTCCTGCAAGAGGTCCAAATAAGGAAGGATGTCCAAGTAACTGTACTTTGTCTATATATGGATGTTGTCCAGATCAAGTGAATGAGGCTCAGGGATATAATTATGAAGGATGTCCACCCGAGTGTATGCAATCTAGATATGGATGCTGTCAAGACAATAAAACAAGAGCAAGAGGTCCTAATGGAGAGGGGTGCTCTAATGATTGCTCCAGATACAGATTTGGATGTTGCTCAGATAATATAACACCTGCTAGAGGTCCAGATGGTGAGGGCTGCCCAAATTCTTGTTCTACCTCAAGGTATGGATGTTGTGAAGATGGACAGACAGAATCCAGAGGTCCAAATAGAGAAGGATGTCCCACTAATTGTTCCATAACACAGTATGGTTGTTGTCTGGATGGGAAAACTGCAGCTAGTGGTCCAGATGGCGAGGGATGCTTCAATGAATGTTCTAGAACAAAATATGGCTGTTGTTCTGATAATCAGACACCAGCTCAAGGTCCAAATGAAGAGGGATGTGCTGTTGAATGCTCAAGATATAGATTTGGTTGTTGTCCAAATAGTCAGAATCCTGCTAGAGGACCCAATGGAGAGGGTTGTTCTATTCACTGTTCCAGATATAGGCACGGTTGTTGTGCAGATAATGTAACTATAGCAAGGGGTCCTAATGGTGAGGGATGTCAATTTGATTGCTCTAGATCTGAGTTTGGTTGTTGTGAAGATGGAAGAACTACAGCAAGGGGTCCAAATAGAGCGGGATGTCTTAATGAATGTGCAAGAACTAAATATGGATGTTGTTCTGACCAAAAGACTCCTGCTAGGGGCCCTAGACAAGAGGGTTGTCCAGCAAAATGTAGAAATTCGATATTTGGATGTTGTTCTGATGGGGTCACAGAAGCTAGAGGTCCAAATGGTGAAGGATGTGAGTCTGACTGTGAGAGAAGAACTTATGGATGTTGTGCAGATAACAAAACTCCTGCACGAGGCCCCAATGGAGAGGGATGTCCTAGTGTTTGTGAGTTATCAAGGTATGGTTGTTGTCCAAACAGTAACATTTCAGCAACTGGACCAAATTTTTCAGGTTGTCCATACACATGTTACAGCAGTTTGTATGGTTGTTGTTCTGACAACTATACAGCTGCAAGAGGTCCTAATAAGGAGGGTTGTCCAACAACAAGTTGCAAGTTGTCTATATTTGGTTGTTGTCCTAACAGTAACATTTCAGCATCTGGACCAAATTACTCAGGTTGTCCATACACATGTTACAACAGTTTGTATGGATGTTGTTCTGACAACTACACAGCAGCAAGAGGCTCAAATGGAGAAGGTTGCCCTAGCCCTTGTGATGAGTATCCGTATGGATGTTGTCAAGATGGCAGAACACCAGCTAAGGGACCAAGGAATGAGGGATGTCCAACAACAGATACAATCTCTGGTAGGTTTATTGATTACATTATTTTTTTAATTTTATTTTGGATAGAGAATCAAGAATATGTTGTTCAAAAAGAACAATTATTTAAGTATATGTTAAATTAATCCTTTTAAAACATGACATTCACTATAATGAGTCACAAAGGGCCACATTCATGATTTAAAAAATTGTATTGAAAATTTTGTTGAAATGACAAGCAATAAACTACTGTAGAGGTACTTTTTTCCACGGGGTCATAATTCGGCAGAATCTCAATTTCTGTTTAATCCACGGGTAGAAAAAAACGCGGATTTTCTAGATTGTTACTAATTGCCTTACATTTATATTAACTACGCTTGGACAAATTTCAGCAGAAATATTGTGACTGCATAGTGCATACATAGCGTAAATTAATACCACGCGGAAAAAAAGTACTTCTACAGTAACTGATTTTAACTTGAAAGATCTTTGAACCAGTGGTATTTATCTGTAAAAAGGAATGTAAATCCCTATTATATGAATGATTTGTGAATCACCAATCATCCAATTATTACTCAATTCTTGATTTCCATAGTGAGATGCATCTTGGTTTAGTGTAATGGGGATCGATATGTGTAAGAGCATTTTCACCAAGCTTGAAGCAATTTGACCCAAGACATTGAATGCACAAGTTATAGAAAGTCAATGTTTAAAGTGAACAAAAAATCTTATTTTAATTTTCTTTGCACTGCTTAAAGTATATTTCAACCTACTTTTAAAAAACATAACATAATAATAAGTTCTAAAACAATCAGGGATGTTAATTAATCTCATTGTGACATCTTGAAGCAAGAGGGTATAAATTTGATTTATCAAAATTTGTTCTGAAGAATTTCAATTATTTTTATTCATAAAGACAGCCAAAGACTTTTGGTGATATATATAACAAAGAATGAATTTAAGAAAATAGAATAAAAAAAAAAATAAAAATGCAGTTAAAATTATTCTAATCTTGGACCCCCTAAAAGTACAGATAAAATGAGGTTATAAATTGTTCAAAGACAGTAAGCAGGTAATCAGGAATTACAGTTTTATAACAAAGTTACATTATTGTGTCAAAACCAGTCATCACAGATGTTGTTGTAGAGGGAAGTGATGCTCTAATTTAAGTGCTTTGAAAATACATGAAAAGACTAGATTGAAGGAAAATAAAAATTTGACGAGACTGAATATTAAAGTGTGGATGGTTTTTGCGGTATTCAATCAAACCCATTGATGCTGCACATATGTTAATTTTAAGAGCATAATTGCATGGTAATATAATAAATCTAAAGAATGGCTTCGTTCTTCATTGAAACTTTTTAAGAGATGCACTTTTTGGTGTGCAGTGGGCAGAAAGTAGGAAACTTCTTTGTGTATATGTTTTATATTGTTTTCTGCCTTTTGTAAAGAGGGGCGATGTTTTTTTAACCATATATTATTTCCACAACATTTGTCAGACCTAGGAATAAGAATTTTAGGGGATTACTGTGTGACAAAGATTCATGTCTCTGATTTAATTGTTTAGACATTCATTGCTGCTGCAAGGAGCCCTCAGTCAAAATGAGTATGCACAAGAAGATTATTAAAATAACAACATGTTGAAACATTGATGACTATTAATATTCAAAGGAATCTCAGTGGGCTGCTTAATTAACTAAATAGACACATGAAAAGAATTTAGATTTTAGCATTGATTAACAGTGTATTCAGTTGCTGGGATACTTTTCGAAAAACTTGTATAATATGTCGACGTTTATATCGCTTTTATAGTCCATTAACATAATAAATCTGTGATGGAATTTAATCTAGCTTGAATATTACTCACTACAAAATCCGAGCCAAATTGTAGAGCATTTAAGTTTTTTTGTAGGTAAAATATGACTGCAATTTCATATTTATATGTGTCATATAGGCAGTCTTAATGAGGTATCAGGGTTACATGATACAGCTTCTGTATACAGATTCCGGCCCAATGTCATGATAACAAGGATTTAACTTTGTCTTAATTTTTTGTTACACCGGCATGCCATTTCGTGACACCCCAATATTTCACAAATGAAAAAAGTGTTTGAATTTCAGTTTTATGCCTACCTTCAGGTTAACATTTCACAGTATGTGGGCACCTCATTGGAGACCTTGATCTTAATACATCATCTTTTGGCATGGTTTTGTTTCCTGCATCAAATGAAACATTTAATTGCTTAATCACACCTGTATTGTGGGGGATTTTTAGTATTGTTGTTTACTGGTTGTCTGGAAGATTATAACTAGGTTGTTTTTCACCTTCATATAGTGCCAGAATTTGTCATTTAGCATCATCTTTCATCCTACACTTTATGCCAAAATTTGTCACCCGACAAAGTCTAGTTTCATCTTGTTTCTTAATTGCATAATCTAAAATTAAAAAAAGAGAAACTGCAAAAAAAAGTCTTTTTTCCCCCAATAAATTGAACCAATACTTTAGTGCTCCAAGTAGCACAATTTCAGCAGATAGATATGTGAAAACCTTGGACTTTTTTTCCTGATTAATTTTTTTTCTTCAAAAATATAGTTGTATGAACATTTTTTCATTTTTGGGACTGATAATAAATTCAATTTTTTTTTAAAAATTTTTGGTCGAGATCATTTTACATGATGTTGCTTCTGAACTATGAGGGGGACCTTATATTTAGTGTCAGTGTGGTGAATGTGTTAGAATTTTAGCTGAAAGAAAAATACAGTACATAAAACTAAATTTACTACCTTAAAAATCAATGCTTACTGACCTGAAATTAATTTTTAAAGAGGCATGAAATTTTTGTCGAGAAAAGAAAATTTTTATTTAAAGACAGAACACAAGTTGATCATTCATCAGATATTGTCTGAGAAGGTGATAGGAACAGCGAAACCTGAGCAGAATAGAAATTTGATAATTCAAAGACTTTATTGTAAATATTGTAAGCAGATCCTCTAAAGAAGAAAGACTGACTTTAATTGTGCAAGCAATATAGGAAAACTAGACAAAATTACATCTGGAGAATCGTCACCCAAATTTGTGAACTGCAAACATTTCGGTAGTTTTTTTCAGAAACATTTAAAAGTCGGATAAGATTTAAAGTGCATTTGTCTGCACATTTATATATATACAATATGTATATATTAGCATAACAATGATTTGCTTTACGAGGAATTTGAGTCGATGCAGAACTTGAAAAAATTTAAATTGAAAAGTCAAAAAAGCAATAAACAAAAAACATTATGTAATATCTTCATAAATAAAGAAGATGTTTTCATATAGGTATTTAAATTATATATGGTCAACAATAGAACCCATATATATAAAGTGTTGAAAATTGTGCTTAAAGATTATTATCAGGATTTTCACAGGTATGTGAATCACTAAAAATGTCAATACATGTACATTTCAAATTTACACATAAAATACATTTTGTGCACACCTGAACATGCAGCTCATACCTTGAATTACAGGTAAAATTTGGAAAGCATACAAATACCTGGGTTGTCTCTGTCTATGATAAAAAATAAAAGAAAGGTCCAATAAGTTTAAAAATTACCTGTCAATTTTTACAAACATCAAAGTAATGATTCACCTGAGTATGAAAACAATATGCGTGATAAACATCCAACAACAAAATCTTTATGGGGGCTGAGTGTTGCACAAAGACATAATTTTTGTAGGAGAGAGAGAAAGAGAGAGGGAGACTCGTAAAATGTGAAATGATACTGTCAGAATTTTAAATTGTTTCATTGAGCCCTTCAGCACCCTAGAAGTTGTACATCATGAGTGGTACAGACAACTTTAATTAGTATTAGTGATGTCATGTTCTGTTATAAGGTTTTTTTTAATTCTGGCTTTTATAAGTTATGGTGTAATACAGTAGTGTCAGGTATCTACACGGAGATATTATTATCCTTTGTGCTAACTTGATGTGTTCGTTTGGGATGCGTGTGAAGACTGTCAATCAACCACGTTTTTAACATGGGGATTGGAATCGACTACCACAAAATTCTTCGCTGGGTTTTGATGCATCAGTTGCTTTACAATGTAAGTAGGGGACAAAAAACAAAACAGAATGAGGGATCATTTGTCTTTGCGGAGAAATTACTTTTGATTTCACGTCAGTGCTTATAATGGATTGGAAGTGGCACAAGTTTCTTATTTAAGAAGCATGGAGAGGAAAATAATGCTTAACAAATTGTTTGTTTGTGATTGAGAGAAGAGTGTTTTTTATGTTGACATATTTGCCATGGAAACTTTATTTGACTGTTGGAAATTATTTCATTTGAATATTCTGTGAAAAGTCATGAGGATCCATAAAACATTGTGTGCTGTATTTATGTGTTTGTGCCTTGTGTTGGAAAGTCCAGCAACAATCCAAAGGAAAAGGAGACGGCATAGGCAGAAAAAACCTGTCTTTATTCCTTACTTATTTTCTCTATTTTCTGAGAATGGGGACTTTAGATTAAGGAAGAAATCTACCCCAGCCCCATACAGTTCAACGACAGAGCCCACAGCTGTGTCAAACTCTGATGTTTTGTTGAACTCAACGACAGTATTACCAGACAGTAGAACCTTGTCACCAAATGATGTTAACAAAACAACATTGTCTCCAGACAGTGTTATTCTGTCAAATTCTACCCTTTTATCTGTGATATTTCCAAGGAATTCCTCCAATTCTAACACTACTCCAACTTTTCTCCCAGTGACAACTACAAATGCTACAAAAACAGAAGATGAAACAAACAGGTTAATAACAATTGCAGAGGGTGGAATTACACCTAAGATAATAAATGTGACGGGCAAAGACAATGTTACGGAGAAAAGCTTTAATTTAACTAGTGGAATAAATGATAAAAGTGAATTGAACAAGAATACAACCAATGTAAGGTTAAGTAATAAAACTAGTATAGTATATGATAGAAATGAAAAAAATGAAACTATAAGGACTGTCCTTAATGGAACAATTGATGAAGATGACAAGAAAACAACCACTGCAAGGACA